GTACGGATCGCTTCATGTTTCTTGTCCATCTCTGCTTTGCTAATTGAAATTTTAGATCGATTGCGTCTCTGCAACTACTTTGAAAATCGCCACGGATTGCATCATAATTTATACTACGTCAATATGATAAAACCCATAACAAATTTTTATCAATGTTTTCCGTGTTATGAGCTAAAAATTAAAAATTGTTGAATTTTGCGGGACATAAAAACTACCGTGTAGTGTACTATTGTAATATGACTAGTATGGATAACACTGCTTATTATATCTTTTTAATTTTAAGAATATTATTCTGCGACCTGGATATGCCGTCGTCGTTTGTGATACCGTATTTTTTGTGTTGCGCGCTCGGGGATAAAATATATGCCCCTACTTCACCCGGATAGCAAATCAAATTTTAAATTTGATTTTTGAGACAAAAAGGAAAATATTTAAGCCCCAAAAGAATAAGTAATCAAACTTACGTATACATCGACTCTTCGGAGTTCGGGTAATATATAGCTGCAAGGCGTCATATCTTGAGTGCAGATGCCATATCGAGGAACTTCTTCCTTCATCTAAATCCGAATTGAAAAAATCGATATTTTTTTATAAAAATTGAGTAGAATGAAATATGTGAGTAAATGTTTATTGTTGCCATACACATTTCTCTTTTGTTCAATGAAATTATTAGAATTGTGAATCGTCGCCGGTGAGTGACGATGATTGGCTGTTGCCATAGATGATAGATATTGTAATGGTGTGCAGTTTGCCAGTTTTCATATTTTTATAATTATAATATTACGCACGATGTAGAGAAGAGAAGGTGATAACACTCCGTGAAAAAAGTGGCTTATTTTTCGACGGCACTATTTTAGTTAACATAAATACCGCCAGGCACCGCCACAGTACTCGAAATCCGGTTGAGTCAATTATTTCCTATTAAGGTGCATTGAAAATTTGAAAATGAACTTTATAATATAGTATTATTTTTTAATTTATATGGTTGTGTTAGGAGAAACTTTAAAAACAAAGTGGAAAAGCTTAAGAGATAATTACCAAAAACATTTAAAAGCAAATAAGACAACTACTGGTCAAGCTGCTGCAGGTGCTACAAAAGGAAAGCACTTGGATACATACAAATATTGGGCCTGGGCAAATCATTTGGAGTTTTTAAAACCACATTTGAGTTTCGCTAAGTATGTATTTCTTTAAATAAATGAATATTTTTAAAAAGAAAAACTTTATTTAGTACGTTGTTTGTGATAAATAGGACTATGATTTATATGTGTTTATGAGTTTAAAATACAAACATTTAATATAATATTATATATTTATACGACCAAAATATGTAATATGAAAATATTGTGTTAAAAATTAAAAATTATTATAGATTATATAAAAAATTGATAAAAATGTGTTAAAACTTAAAAACAAACTTTTTATTAATCAATTTGATTACAATATTGCGGACCACCTAACTGCACTTTAAAATGTTTTGTTCCGCATGCAGATAGTAAATAAAATATTACTAATAAGACGTAATAATGATAAAACAAAAATATAATATACGTAAATTATTTTTAAAATTAGTTTATAATTTAAATAATAATATTTAGATAATATAATTTTGTTTGTAGCACAATGTCTAATGTTCCAGTAGTAGATTCCGAAGAAAGGCTAGACATACAGGACAATATTTATGAAAACGAAGAAAGCAATGAAAAAATTCCAGAAAAAGGAAAAAAAAGATCACTGGGACGAGAAAAAGTTGATGTACCAATCGAATCTAATGTCGATAAAGTGTTAGAACATTTGAATAAAAAACAAAAGATCCCACTTGATGCAGTTGAAATGCTTATGTTAAGCCATGCTAAAATAATTAAAACTTTTTCTCCGATACGACAAGCCGTAGCAAAAAAAAATATTACAGAAATTGTTACAAATTTGGAATTGGAACAGATTGAAGAAAATGAACACCGTCAATATTATATTATTATCAATCATCTTCACTAACATACCAGCCTATAGATGATGTGCAGACATACCAGCCTACAACTAATGTAATTAATTTGTCAACTGCAGACCATGCTAGCAATTATAATATACATCAATTATAATTTATGATTAAAGTGCCATAAAAACTAAAATTGTAAAATTCAAATTAATTAAAATAAACTTATCAAATGTACTACCCCTAGCTACTTTTTAATTGTAATATTATATGTAAATGAAATATTATAATATTTTGGTTTCGTAAAATACGTAAAATATTACAAAATCATACCTTAGTGAAATCGCTAGCCGTTCCGATGGTGGTATTGGATTACGAAAGTTTGTTGGCATTTTTTGAATGTCATCGATAATCCATCCCAAAATTTGATCGAAACACTCGGGAGTCATTCTAAAATATATGTGAAACCTTTCTGGGTCCTTTCTTAATTCAGGCATTAGAGTACAATACTCTCCAGATATCTCTCGTTCCTTATTAACACTATGAACCCAACATTTTCTTTTTTTCTTTCTACAACGAAGTATATTTATTTAATTGTTTTAAATTACAATAATTATTATATAAAGTAAAAATACCTTTTACGTTCTTCATCATCTGCCACTATTGCTGCCAAAAGTAAAATTTCGTCATCTTCTGATTCTGATGATAAATATACGTCCATTGTATATTTGTACGTTGTAATGGATACACGAATATTATGTGTTTTAATTTAAACTTTTTAAACACGCACCTTCGACAGTTGAACGTGGTATGCAACTATGGTATAGGTTCGCATTTAAGCAATTACTGCTCTTATCATAAGATAAAATTACTTACAGCTTACAGGAATGCTTGTTCCTCACATTCTCCTCTTTCCCTTTTTATTTTGGGTCAGTCAATGCAGTTATTATTATTCTACTATACTAGCTATACTAACTATACTAATGACTTCCTAAGGAGTAATGCTTAGATAATATCTATTACCCAATCTAATATATGATTATTTTCCTATAGCCCATACGGCCATTATACGTCGTATACTCGTATAATTATATAGTAATGAACAAATAAAAATTAATTATATTATTTATAATTTTGGTTACAATATTGTGTGAAGATTATCAGAAATAACTTTTAAAAATTTAAAGCTTATAAAAAAATCAGGTCACCGCCACCGCCACCGCGGCAGTGTGTGGGGACCTTAATATTTATAGCACGGTTTAATATCTTAAACCGTGATTTATTATTAATAATTATCTTACGCTTATCACTAAGCACGACTGTAGTAATGCATTAACCATGGTGATATGCACACGTTTTGTTTTCGTAAATGTGACTCTATTTGTTAAATGAAATTAATCATTATATAAATACAACGAACAATTATAATATTATAAACAAAAAAATAATATTATACAAATATAAAATTATTTATGAACAAAATTATAAAATTATATACAAAAAAAATTATAATATTATAAACAAAAAAATAATAATATACATTTATTCATCAATTTCTGATAAAGGTCTAACGTCGTTAAAATCGTCCGAGTCATCAGTTTCAACATTTAAAACACATGGTTCTCTTTCAGCCATCAATTCATCCACCACAAAGTCAATCTTTGAAAACTTTTCCTCCTCTTCTATTGTATGCTTAATAAAGTTTTTCCACATGTCGGCATTAACTCTTTCTATACCTTCTATTAATAATTGTTTTATGTCTTGTAGCTTAAAGGTTTTATTGTTCGTCCTCACATGGTTTTTTACACTAGACCATGCGAGCTCAATAGGATTGAGCTCGCAGTGGTAAGGTGGCAATCGAAGAATTATTTTGTTTTGTTTTTTAACTAGTTCATCAATTACATACTTATTGTACAAAGGTCTCAGCCTATCCACAATCACAAGTAGCTCTGGAATAACCATTGGTCTACTAATAACCTCTCCTTTGTTCTCGAGCCATTCAATAATTTTGCCTTTTCTGGTGTTTGACGTTGGGCATTTGTCCTGTTTCACTGAATGGTACGGAGCGTTGTCCATGACAATCACTGCGTTATCTTTGAGTCTAGGTAAAACACTTTCCAACCATTCACGGAAACAATCACTGTTCATTTCATTGTGATAGTCTTGAGTGTTTTTCTTAGACTCAAAGCACAGAAGACTGCCGGAAACAAATCCGTCTTCCGACCCTATATGGCAAACTATCAGGCGTTTCCCCTTTCCACTAGGATTTACTGCTCCCGTTGTAAGACCTTTATTTGTTGCATCTCTCGCAGATTCAACCGATTTATCGCACCATACTTTATTCGGTACGTCACCAGCATTTACCCAAGTTTCGTCCAAATAGTATATTGGACGACCCTCCTCGCGATATCGCCGAATATCCAACAAATAATTTCTCCGCCAAACAACAATTTCATTCCGCTCAATCATTGCGCTATTTCGACCACGTTTAACAAATTCGAAATCCATAAATTTTAAAAATCTATAGAGCGAAGAGCGTGAAAAATCGGGCAAACCAACATCTTCATTTATGGCACACAAAATTTTATCTAATGTTGGCAACTCACGTCTAAACCAAAATTGATGTATTTTTCTCCTAATTGCACATTTATCGAAATCGTCAATTTTATCTTTTATGCTTTTAAATATTTTAGTTTTATTTGGAGATGTAATGGTGTTCGTACGTTTATACTCTAAAATTGTTCGGTATATTGTAGACATTCCAATTCCGAGTTCAGTCGATAACATTTTTTTAAGATGAAGCATTTTTATTTCTGGATTTTGGGCAATTTTGGATTTGTAAGCGTTTATTATTATTTTCCTTTGGGAAGATGACACAAACTAAAATGATAAAAAACATTGTAAAATCAATTTTATTACTAAACGATCAGATTTGTTTATGATATCGTTGAAAATGTATTTAAGTTTTATTTTTTAGTATAAATAACCAAAAAAAAATTCATTAATATCCGATAATTTGTTTTAGAGTTACAGCAAAAATCAAAAGCGATTTAAAATATAAAGTTATTGCTAAAATATGTACCCGTTAAAATTTGCAAGTATTTACAGTTTTCCATATTTGAGTTTTGCTAAATTAAAATAAAATTGTCAATACCAGTGTATTGCGTAAAAATTCACGTTTTTCTTTATTTATTTTTATTCTTATTGTCCTCTTAATAATATATAATAATAAAATGAAATATATTTACCTTTCCTTTAGGATTGCGTATCACTTTAGGAGATATATTGTTATCCATGTTTAAAAAATATGAAAAAAAACACAGCAAAATGATGAGCGCAATTAAAATAACAAATACGAGAGTAGTGTTTCTAGGTTACACAGAGCAAAAGTGAGCAATTTCCATGTGCTCTGTACGTATCGCAGCAAAAAAAAAACAAACAAAAAATCTTGGAGTAAAAAGTAAAAAAGAGGGAGGGGGTGGGGATGTTTTTTCCCTTTGATTTTTAACGTATTTTTTAAATTACGTGCACGCCGGACGCACGTACATCGTAGCGCTGGATGAGGAACGACAGACCGCCCAATATTACAAGTAATTGGTGGGGGATGCCCGGAAATGGACGAAAATCTGTCGGCTGAGGCTGACTAATTATTCTCTTTTGGGATAGGGTGTACGGTGACAATAATAAGAACTGATGTGTGGACAGGCGCGGATCCAAGGGGGGGGGCAAAGGGCCATGCCCCCCCCTCCCCCCAGAGACTGGTGAATCGTCTATTATATATTTATATCTGTTTTCGCCAGCCGATAAAATGCATTGTTTCGCCGATAGCCTTTTAAATTTTATTTAAGATGCCCCCCGTAAATATGTTCTAGATCCGCGCCTTGTGTGTAGATTCAAGATAAAATGTACTTATCTGTCGATACGTATTAACCTCTGACCTTAATAATCGTTTTTTAGCAAAATAAATGTGGGTCTCAAAAATATTTTGTTCATTTTATGATGTGTTTTTCCGTGTATATGATTTGTGGGAGTGCGGGACCAATAAATAGCTTTCCGTTTTACGTTAGACAGGTTCCGTTTTATCAAGGGTTTAATCCTATGTTAAATTATAGAAATCTGCCGGGACCATAATACATTTCCGCATAGAAAAGGATTCCGTCTTATCAAGGGTTCGCATAAGACAGGTTTCACTGTATACGGATGTATGGCACAAATAATTGTTTTATGTTATTAATCAAGTTAGGTATACAAATAAATTGTAAATTAAAACCTTCCCTGAATCTAGACCAGTGGTTCTTAACCTTTTTCGAATGACGGAACACTTAACATTTTACAAGATTTTCGAGGAACACAACTGTAAAATAAAATAGTAGTACATACATTTTTAATTTTTTAATATATTAAACAATTAATGTATAGCATAAAATTGTTTGCATGCCATACATGTTAGTGTTAGTCACTAAAAAATAATAAAATAATAAAAAGAGTTAAAAAAAATTTAAAAATTTGAAATTGAATACTTTGTATGAGATATTTGTGCCTGATGATTTTTACAGATATTTTCAATATCTTGCCGTATGTACGATATTGCTACTCTCATTTCCTCTTCAATATTTGTCAGCCTTTCTCGTTTCTTTGTTTTGATATTCGTCAGTGTTGAAAATCCAAGCTCACATAAGTATGATGTTGAAAATTGTAATAATATTGAAATTGCTTTTTCAGAAATTTTTTTAAATTCGGTTTGAACTGAAATCCAAAATTCTTCTACTGTTATTTCGGAAAATTTTATTTTTCTTTAATACTAATGTATTTTATAACTTTTATTAGTGCAGAAAATAAAATTGTCAAATATCTATACGTATGTTATCGCAGTATGGTGGGGATTATCGTATAATATAATAATAATAATGTATATTAATATATTATATAGTATACTGACACATTATATTATTCGAAAGTTAACGATAACGTTTTTGTGTACAAAAATAAACCAACAAAACCTAAAATGATTCTATTTTGAAAGAATTTTTTTTTCACTGATTTTAAAATTTTGGCGGAACACTTAAACGAAGTCCACGGAACACCTGTGTTCCGCGGAACACCGGTTAAGAACCACTGATCTAGACCTATTAATTAGTGAAAACTGTACTAAAATCCGTTGGGTACTTTTTGAGTTATACGCGTACATGCAAAAAAGGAGGTTCTATTTTATACAGTAGTATGATACTATGATAATAATAGAAGCTACCAAAACTAAAAAATAAATAGAATGCTTTTCATATTATGCATTATTCTTGAATATATTGATTTATTCATTATTAAATAATATTATTAAAAATTATGTACCTACCAGATTACTAAAGAGTAAATAAGAAAATAATTATTTGAAGTCTGAAAAATCCGTTGTCACACGTTACGATTAATTGGTGGCTAACGGACTATAGTAGTGTTATTATTTCATAAATCGTTGCTTTTCGGAAAAAAGACAATTATGAAAAAATAAATGTTGGATAAATAATGCCATTAGTCACAGGTAAAAAGTAAATATAATTGTAGTTAAAAATATATATGCTAGCCACTAGGTAACTCGTTTTCTATTATAAGTTAAATATTAAGTAGCTATTTTGTTACATAATTTTGACAAGAACCTTGACTTGCTAATTTTGAAAGCCAACTTGCTATTACTCTGCAATGGATTCGTATTGGCAATAATTTGCAGTGGATTGCGTTAAGAGGGTGGGCCAAGTTCATGGACGTGTTGTATATTAATTATCAAAATTATAATTTTGATAAGTCATTAATTGATGTTATAACTATCTATGACAGTAGTATAAAATAGAGATTTCCAGCACCGCCACCAACAAGCATCCTCTCTTCGACTCACCGCTCAGCTTAAGATCCCGCAACCGGTACTCCGTTCCTAGCCATACTTACTTTTTTATACTTGATTTTGGCGTTTTTATTCGATAAATAATTTTTTTTTATAAATTATAGACTTTTCACTCATTAAGGTTTTTTTTATTAAATTAAGAATATTTTTTATAAACTATACACTTATTAATTTAGGTTTTTTATTAAATTTTTATTTTTTTATTTAACTTCTTTTCTAGATTTATTCAGTTTTTTTTATTCTAATTAGATAAAAATCTATGTTTGAGAAATTATTCTAAATTGAAAATATAAAAAAAAGGATTCAATATTTAATAAAACAATACAACTGGAATACAAAAGACGATGAATTGAAAATCTCATTTCATTAAAAAGTAGAGGACATAATATATGTTTTAATAATCAAAATGGAACTCTTCGTACCTATAGTCTATTTAGCTACACTACTGTTGAGAGTCCATTATTTTTCCGGCAACTCACAATATTGTCTTTAGTTTTTAAGGGTGAACTCTAATT